GGCTACCCTAGCTATGCAGGTTATCCACGCGAACATGGAGAGGATGGTCCAGACGTTTCCACGCCAGATGTTGTGGGAGCTCCTGGCAGCCCGGAGAGCAGCAAGCCATACCCTGGCTACCCCGAGGGCAAACCCGGCCAGTCCGGCGGTTATCCTGGCTACCCCGGAGGATATCCTGGCTATGCAGGGTATCCACGCGGAGAGGATGATTTCCCAGCAAGTCCAGATTTGTAGGATCCGACGGCGGAAGTCGTGGGGAGTATCAAGCGGTGAAACAGCACACAAATGGGCTTTCTCCTCTCTGAAATGCCAGAAGCGATAAAATCTCCGATGAAGCAATGAGCTATTAGAACGATGCACTCTACAAATGCTCGGGAAACGATCGGACGGTCGTTACCAATCAGTCACATTTTGTATCCTTTCAGGCGTAGAAAAAGAAGCAGAGTCGCCCATCTCGTATGCATAGCGCAATCATGTCCATTGAGCTAAGGACCACAAGGCAGTGTACACGCACTCACGAATCCATGGTTGATCGCGAAGGATCTTCCTGTTCTCCTCAGGATCAAAGCGATAGATCTCGTCTTGAGGAGAGAGGTCCAGAATGTTATTGATTAGAGAAAACGTCTTGAAGGCCGTACTGGATGATGCGCCATCGTCGACGGCGAGCAGCCAAGGTCTTGAAATCGCTCGTGCGTGCAGGGTGCAACGCGATCCAACTATATGGGCGCTTGCGAACGTCGCTTGGTCCTAGAGCGTGACCGTGGGAGCTCCTCTCCTTTTCTGATCTTATAGAGCTCACTGTCATGCGCATCGTGGATGACACGTTCTACATCGTGCCGCCGTCGCTGCGTCCGTCTTAGTTCGCACGCATGAGCGGCAGCCGTGCCATTACAGTAGACTATCTCATAATGCATAAAGTTGGTTCCCGGCTCAGGCTATGCATTATGAGATGGTATGCATTACCAGATGTGTCACATTGTGTTACATAATGTGACAATTGTGACCCTTCACTGAGCAGTTGTCACGCCTGGTGACTTTCCAAGGGATTTGTGTGAAACTCTGTAAGTACATACAGATAAGGCAGTAACGCGAGTTCCTTGATGACTGTGGGGTGTGATTTTCGAGTGCTTTCAGGCCCAGACACGGAGAAGCAAATGAAAATTTTGCTATGATAGATAGCTCTCATACATGTTCACACCTTGCCAACACCATTTTCA